CATTCCTGAAACAATCATTTTTAATGGCTTGTCAAGTACACCAAGAGTGCAAGGTTTCTGTTACCATGTAGTCTCCCTCAGTGCCTGTCTCAGCTAATCAATGTCCATCACAAACGATTTTTAAACAAATACTGATATTTACAGTTAAGTTAAACATTCATTAAGAGAAACAGAACAACTGTGAATTGATTAAACTTCTGTTTTAAAATGCCGAGCAAAGCAAAAAAACAGGTGATTTCTTACTTGTTTTTCAGAGACTTTTTCAAGTTTCCTTCTGCTATGATGGTATGTCTTCCTTCATGACAACCACACACAGCAGCATATTGCATTGGGAATTACACATATCCAAATAGTCAGTTTTAAAGAGACTACCTTTATCAAGCAGAAGTAATTCCACAAAAAATTCTGCATCCCACAGCTTTGCCAATTTCTTTTTCCTTTGAGAGATTATTATGAACTAAGCACTTAGGAAAATACAATAAATGAACCCATATAATAAGAGGGACTTAGGAAGTGTCTGACCAGTTCCCACAGGAACTCACAAGGGAGCTGTCTACTGGTGGTAAGGCATCTCCCAACTGAGTTTGAGGTGCCCCCCTGAGCAATTCTCGGGGTGCCGGTGGCCCCCCCCCCCCGAGAAATTAAGATGAGTTCCAAAGACTAAAAAAAGAAACAGTTATTATTCTGCACCTGACATCACCTCTATACACTGAACAAAACAACTTGCTGCAAGTCACAAGAATACTTGCACTGTAGTATTTCTATCATCCTATTTTCTCTAGTGTGACCTGCCTGCAACTTGATTTCTAACATCAGCACTGCTGATTCTCCAGTCACCTGAGAGGTGTACTTTTTCAGTGACTGTTTCAATACTAAGATGATATTACATGAAATAGGAAAACTACAAAATTTTAGAAAATTTTATAGTTTCTCCCTGGAAATCCTTGACCTCTAGTCTATTAAAAGAAACTGCACTGTATTCAGACTAAAATACTGTACGCCCTGAAAGTGACGGTTTATCTAGTGACTGTTCGCCTAGCGCAGTTGGGAAATCTTGTCCTACTATATTGGTTCCTTTGCAAAAATATGGGACACTGACACTTCTCTGCTTCTTGCCTCTTACACAAATCTGTCAGAATTGGTTGGAGCTCAGATCTCCACTCGTGTAGGACAAGGGAAACAGGCATTCATTCAGGTTTGTCTCTGCTACCCGCTACGCTTGCTGAGGTAACAGGGGCTGATGAGCCTCTCCAGGCACCTCATCAAGGTGGAATAGTCCAGAAGAACTCATGCTAATGCTTCTAGCATTCAGGACTGGTGGTAGACAGCAGTCACTGTGCATCGCTGACATGCTCTGTGCCTCAGCTTGTTCAGAGTAACTTACACTCTTCTGACCTCTGATTCAAAAAAGTAGTTCCACCTGGTCTTTTGAAGATGACACTGTGTTATCACAATCTGAATTCCTTCATGCAAAAGGGAAATGTGGGTAGAAATAAGTTTCTGTATAGTTTTGAAAATTCCCAAAGGCCTCAACTTCCACATGCAGAGAAGATGACATTGCTCTTTCTTACAGTGCAGATGAAACAGATTACATCCGGTTTATTTATAAAAGTTTTATACACCTGAAATATCACAAACATTTACAACTTTCCTGCTTTCTTCTGAGTTCTGAAAAGATCAAGTCAGACAATTACACTGCTGTCTCCTTTGACTCTGATGTTTGTGGTGGCTTGAAGTTCAGAATCTCTTTATATGTAATGCCTGGAAAACAACAGAAGAAAAACAGTGCTGCTGGTATATTGAGAAAAGGAGCTGCACAGACTTGAGCAAGGGACAACTGCTAGCATGGTTAGGCTTTGATCTAGGTGAAGAAGAGAGAGACCTCTTCAGGCAAAAAAGGGAGAAAGAGTACAAAGAATAAGGAAATCAAGGATCATCTTATCCTAAGTCACCATTTAAGATTTGAAGAAGCAGCCCAATACTGAAATGTAAGTGCTTTCCAAGGGATGCGAGCGGTGGCTTTACAATGCAGTGTACAGTATCTTCAGCAAGACCTGCTGGGGACAGCAGAATTAAAAATCACGTCCTCATTTAAGAGTCAAAATACAACCTTCCAGAGTTGGATAAAAACTCAATTCAGATGTAACTCTCTGCTGAGACAGTCTCTCTCAGTGACGGAAAACAGCTCACTTAAAATTAAGGCCAGTAACAGTTGCAGTCCTGAAGACTCAGCAGTTTAAGAAGCTGTTCTCTGTTCTATGCACTGTAAGGAACATGCTACAGAAGTGATTTCTTTCCTACAGTGCAGCAGATGGGAGGAAAGACACACAGAAAAGCAGAGGAGAGAAGCCACTATTAGAAGGAAGAGAAGAAAACCTTTGCAGATGATCTGATGGGAAAGATCTGATGAGAGGAACACTGCTTGGTCAGCAGTGTTTCTCACTCTTACTGCTGTCTACTTCTTTACTCTATGAGTTATTTGGGTGACCTTTCTATCTGCTCCTTTTTAAAATCATCACAAAACTAAACTCACGCTTCCATTCATCCAGTGGCAGATCCATGTTATCAAATGTGTCATCATATTTCTCAGCTTCAATTTCTTCCTCAGGATCATGAATTGGTTCAAAATAAGGATGCATCAAAGCCTCAGCTGCTGTGGCTCTCTTCTCTGCATCTAGCACCAGCATCTTCTCCAAAAGGTTTACAGCTATTCAACAACAGCAAAAAAAAATCACTGCATTCAAATCATACCACTGATTCCAGCTTGTACAGAGTAATGTTGCCCTGGGGATATTTTAAATAAATACAGAGTTACAAAACAGAATCACCGGGTGTTTGTTCCATAGCCACTGGGGTCCATCTGTACCACACATACAGCGCTGTGAACAAGCTGGGGCACATAAAAAGCCTGATGCAAAGCAGAGATGCTCTGCTGCTTCCAAAAACAATACAGCCACATCACCTCAGCTGATGACTCCTCAACTTCTGTCTCCAGAACCACTGCATTTAGAGTTGCACAGGTGTCTTTGCACACTACCACCACTGTGTCATGGTTCTAGGGTATACGATGACTTGACAGCAGCAGAATGAACAGGCAGGTGAAGAGCTCATGAGAATGGCTCTGCATGTGACCAAATCCAAGCCCTCAGCCCCAGCAGTACACTTTGAAGTTCACTACAGCTCTCCACAATCAGAATCTCAGCACAGACTTTATCCGCTATGTATTCCGGACCTCAGATGAAACACTAAAAAATTTAGGAAAATCTTGCATATTCCTCTCCAATGGATTTTGGATCAGATACTATGTGAGACTATCAGAATGGGTTAAGGTAAACAGATAAGATGACCGATTTGTTTATTCTCCCTTTTTCTATTATGTTCCTGTAAGAATGTTCCTGGGTCAGCTGGAACACTCTGAAAGGGAGGGAGACAGCAGCATGCAACAGGGAGCCGTGACTCTCGCCTGTCACATTGTGGATCTTTCCAACCTTCTCTCCCAGAGCGTGAGCGGTTGTTCTCCTCGAAAGGAGCAGCCAGAGAGACTCAGAGGTGACGGGAAGAAACTTCCTAAAAACTAAATGGAAATGTGTGGAGCTTACTGTAGCTCGAAAGGTCAGCGAGTTAACTGAGCAGTCAGGTGAGAGCTGCTTATCTATTCTACTGATTTCTGTTGCAACTGACCTTATTATTTTAACTTCTTAAATAGAGAAGTCTCAATTATCCTAATTTATATTTTAATAACACCTAGCTTTCTGAGCGTTCAGGTTGCTGGAGAACAGATCAGGTTTGGGCAGATCCACCTCAAAGCTCTGGCTGGCTGTCATGTCAGTCGCGCATACTTGGCATGCTCTTCTTGCTGTTTATATCAAATACAAGCCAGTTCTTCTTAGGAACGCACAGATGTTTCTCAGAAAGTATTCATTCCATCACCGAAATGTTACCTTTCTACTTGCTTGCGAGTCTATTACGGATCAGAATCAGCTTTCAGACTTGTATTTCAAATATAATACATAAAAAAAATTTATTACCGATATTTCGTTTCCCAGGACTCTTGAGAAAGCAGATCCAGCAAAAACATCAAGTATAGGCTGGATCAGAGCCTAAAACACAAAACACTTCTTTTTCAACTCTTCTAAGAAACATCTGATTCCCGGCAGGGCATGAACTTGGCTAAGTTCAGCCCTTAAAATCAAAGTTAGGAATTATGGAAAGCAAGAGGTAGAACAGCATACGAACCATCACATAACCGTCACAGTTATCATCACATGACTGATGTTACTGCTGCTGCCTCCAGTACAAACACAACAATACAAATTGTACACATCCACACAAACTTTCTTACCCAGCGGATTCGCATACTTCAAGATGGATGCAAAATCTTTTTTCTGAACTTTTGGGAGGCTTTTGATATAGTTTTTTGCCTTACAAGAAACAAGAATTTTGAATTAGAACTTTGGGTTGTTTGTAATGTGACAACATAAACTTTATGCTTAATAGGCAACTTTTAATGATGCTTTGATACCAAATTATACAAATGGATTTGTTAATTTTTTTTCCTATAAATGCTGATTATATTCAGATTCTTGCTGGGAATAACTTTTTAAAATCAAGCCTTAAGATTAAGAAATGATATTTAAGGCTTCTATTATTAGTGTTCAATATTTATTATATTAATTAGAATAAATATGTAAGCATCACTTGAAAGAATAAAAGCTATATTTGTGTCTACAGGAATCTTTAGAAGTCTATCTTTTAAAGTAATTTGTTAGTATTTAAATGGCAGAGTTAGTCTAATGATTAATTTTAGGTGCTTTACAGTGGGAGTTTAAGGACCCTAGAAGGACATCCACACAAGAATAGGAAGGACGAAGTCAGAGACATCTGCAGAACAAGTGAGTTTTCTGAACAGGTTCATATTTTAAGTATAGGTAGTATTCCAGTAAAGGTAGTAATACGTTAGCCTAGCTGTTTATACGCTACACACTGGGAACTTTAAAGTTCCAGTTTGCAATAACGTAAAGAATTAAATTTATAGATTTTTCAAGTGTTCTGATAATTTTCTGGCTGCTCTTAATCTCCTGTAATTATTTCAGGTGCCCAAAGCACTTTAAGGTGGATATGCTCCATCACTGGTCATTGCAATACACATTATCTCAGTCAGTTTAAACACTAAACATGGCTTAACTGAAATTAAGACTCACAAAACAAACCGACAAAGCAGAATACTCACATCCTGACTCTGCAGTTTTTGAACAAAATCTTGGGTTGGAGTGCCTGTTATTTTCATTATTTCTGTGAGCTGGTCCAAATCTGAATACCAAATAAGGAACAAAGTCTTCCACCACAGCAAAATTAAACACCTTACAAAAACTGTGTTTCTTTGCAATTGGAGAATAAAGTAGAAATCAGAACAAAACAACTGCAAATAAGATTCACAAAAGATGAGGTGAAAGTTCTCAATTTCTCTTGCAAAGGCAAAGACGCTGAAACACCTGAAATAAAAGACCTTATAACTTGGGCACACACAATTGAATCATCTGCAAACTCCTCTAATATTATCCGGCCTCCTCTAATATTTTTGGTCAAAACTGGTCCAAAAGTTACTAAGTTTCCATATATGGCACGACAGATAGGTAGAGGAGATCTTCATTAACATTCCCACAGAGGAAAAGGTTGTATTACAAATTCAATAACCATCTGTTTTGTTTGATGGTGTGTCTGAACAAGCAACACATACCATATCCGTTGTCCTGGTCTCTCCAATAAGCTGATTAAGTAAGAGGAACCAGAGCTATTACAGAGGCAGGAAAAGTCATAGCGAACACCAGGTGGTAGGGGAAGCAGAGCAAAAATCAGAGGAAACCAGTCTTCATTAATTCTTCTCCATACTGAGCAACTTAAGAAAAACACTTCCTCCTCCTCCTCATTCCCCACCTGCTTAGCTGGATTCCACATGCTGAGATGCTGGAGACATAGTATTTGTGATAAGGCATCAGAACAACCCCTAGTCTTCTGTGTCCTAAAACAGTACAGATTAATCAGCAACAATATTAGCTGTTTCAAAGAAGAACCACCATATTCACAGGGGGCTAATGCTGTAGGGAACAGCTCTTTGCATCTCATTTGCTACTCTGATCACCCAGACTCAAAGCACATAAAAATCCCACAAACCTCTGCAGAAAAAGCAAATGCTGGGTAATGCTGATCAAACAAACAAACAAAAAATCCCACATCAAGTTTGTAGGACAACCTGTTCATAAAATTAAAAAAAGAATCATTAAAATTAGTTACTTATTTTTTTTCCTCGCCTACTCAGAGCTGAATTCATAGCTGTATTGCCCTGACAACAGGTAATACTGATCCATATATCTGAGGCCAGTGGGGACAACTATACTAAGATAATTAGTTCCTTTATGACACAGGATGTAGAATTTCAGCCAATAATTCTGAAATATCCAAAATCCAGTACAACTAAATACTAGCTTTTATACTCTTACATTTACAGTGCAACTTGAAAATTATGACTCACTCACTTCTTATTTACACATCAGGATTTTCAGGGTTAGTATTGGTTGAGAAATGCTATTTGTCAGTCAATTGTTGTCCTTTATGTATTTTACTGTTTTTTGTTAAAAAGGGAAACATACTTAAAATCTGTACAGCTGAAATAATTGGATATATTCTTCTTTTCTGCAGCCCGTCATTTTTTTCGTAAATACATCTTCTTCTATTATGTTTTTCCTCACAGACAAGAGAATAATAAGATCCATGCAACCAAGTCCTAACTTTACAGGTAAGGACTTAAACATAGAACATATTTATAAGAAAATTTAAACAAGCATTTGCAGGATCAGCACTTTATGGACTGGAACTCTACAAGGGGAAAAGCAGTGCAAAATGATTAGTATGAGCTGTCAAATATGCAAAATAGATAAAGAACAAATCAAAAGTCAAAAAAACTTCTTGCTGTCCTCTATTAACACTGAGTAACACAACTATCTCCGATGAAGCATCACTTAAATGTTTAAGTGTGGCTTGATCTTAACTATTTTCTTAATTACTCAGCAATGAAATGATATGACAAATGTTTTCTGTAAATATAAAAATATATTAGACCACCACAATTTTTGATAAAATTCTCAAAAAACATGAAATGGACCAGCATGTGCTCAGAAGTCTGCATACTGCACGAGACTTCTTTGCACACGTTCTGGAGTTGGGAAACCTACTATTTAAAAAATAAAAAATAAAAACTGCCTGTTCTATGAACACTGAATCACTCACTTGATTCGAGACACGACTCAAAGACTACCTCTCTCTAGCGAAAAAGTTCAGTAATATCAATTTTAATCTGCAGATGTTTAAACTTGGTATAAGTATCAAATAACCAACAAATTAAAGAGGTGAAAGTCAATTTACTATTATTTTCCTTTAATCCCATCAGTTTCTGAATAAGACTTACTGCATTGCACAAGCACCTATCGTCACTTTCTTATCTTACTGCAATAAATTCACGGAGGAAGGATACGATCATTTCCTTTGAACAGAGGCCTCCCAGTTATCATCTCAGCCATTATACAGCCCACAGACCAGATGTCAACTGAAAAAAAAAAAAAAAAGTAACATCAAATTGCTGAATATTTGTCCATTTAAATATAGACAAAGCTTAATTTAAAACATATTTTTAAGTGTAATGTTTACCTTTATAGCCTTTTATAAAATAATATGTGCCTTGCAGAGTATGATAAACAGTATACATAAAACTGTTAGTCTTTTTGATTAGCAAACAAAAGATTATCTGATTTTATGCAGAATCAGTTTCTCAATAACAAGCAGACGCACAAAGGAAGTAACTTCTCTATGCTTTCAAAACTTCCATGGTTATTTTGGTATTACTTGAATTCCCTCCTCCTGCCATTTTTCCCAGTCAGTTTGAGTTGCAACCTGCACATCTTGCAGAAAGATTACAGGCAGCGGAGCGCACAAGAACGTAGACCAGATTGTCACATCTGTATACGTTTACAGTGCTTTTTTTCCAATAACCTTGGAACTTTCTGTTCTGTCTCAGACAGTATACAAACAAAACCACCTCCAAATTATTACCTGTAATTTATCTACAAGGAACTATTTCATAACTATATTATCATTTCCACTTCCAGTTTCTCATTCATTTCAGAAACAAAGATATGGCTATGCATTGCCTGACTCAGTGAACGCTTCAGCTCTGTTAAGACTTTTCTGAAAAGATGCTGACCTGTTTGTGTATAATGCATCCAATTAAGTATGACCTCTGGGGCTCTGTACCACCTTGTAACCACGTAACCTGTCATCTCACTGTCTGTATGCCTTGCCAATCCAAAATCCAGAATCTGTAATGGAATCATAAAGAACATCCTCATCAGACAACCTATATACCTGTTTCATACAAACTTTCCAAATATGGAAAATAAAAAAAACAGAGCATTCTGCAGAGAATGATTTATTTTTGCATCTTTTGCTCATTAAAGCGTCTTGTTCTCATTATCAAAATAAAGACAGAAGTAACAAGGAACTTTAGAATTATTTTTTCACATCAGATTCTGCTACAGCAACACTTGAAAGCTGGAACGCTACCAGTAAAGAAAACAATAAATGCTTCAATTTTGGTTATAAAGATAAAGGTCACATTCAATGCAAAAACTGCTGGACCATGGAATGACTATATATCTTGTCAGGGGTTGAAAGAACAGCACCCATTCTAGATGTTACATGATATAGATTGACCTGATATCCCAGGTGGCACAAGTTTAAGGACTGTGTTCTAACAATAGTCTGAAATAAGGAGGTACCATTATCTTCATTTTATGAATAACTAACATAAGGAAAAGCTTCCTCAAGGTCACACTGAAAATCCGTAATAAGAGTAGAGAATTACCATTATTTTGTTCTACTGAGTTCCAACCTGCTGCTTAATTACAGAACAATCCTCTGTAAGAAACTCAAGGTCAGTACAATTTTTTTTAAAGAACTATGTACAATTTGGCTTATTTCTAAAACTCTCAGATAATTATCTCCAGCTACAGTAAAGTCTACAGCAGCAAGATTAAAAAGAAATGTTACAGTCTCTTGTCAGCTTCTACAAAATTGGCTAACATAATAAGGGCCCAGCTGTACAGACCATCAAAAGATATATTCGGCTAATGGTGAGGTCCATTGCCGGAATGACAGTTTGTAATCTATCAGTAAATTCTTGATCCTAAGAGGAGAAGCAGGGCCCTTGGGCGAGGAAAATTATTCCAAATAAAATCATCATCCACAGATACCTGAATACATCATTTTGGATGAACAGCCACTAGTTTCCATGTGTATCAGGCTTCATATATATATTTACGGAGCAGAAATTTTCACAAGAAGCGCCTGTGTATCACAGTACCAAGGGTGATAAATTTGTAAAGCTCTCACTGTAATTAATCATTTAAAAATACTTCATTTTTCAGTAAGATAGTTTCATCATTCCCTGGCACTAACAGAGAAGGAAAATTATAGTTTTATTCATGGAGCAAGAGTAGAAAATATAAATGCTATGGCTTATCTTCACTGCCACATTTAAAACATTATTTCCGCATCTCCCTCATAGTTGCCGATTACTTAGCTATTTAAAAAGGGAATGAGATGCAAATGGAGAGGTCTTTATTCTTACTAATAAAATGCAATTGACTATGGCATAAGTTACCACTCAAAAACTTTGGGTACTGAAGATTTACTGAAAATATTTGAAAGAGCAAAATACACTTTTATATACCGCTTTCAAATTTATTATATATATGTATTTTTTACAGTATGTCTTCCTGGCAGCACAGAGAGGACGGGGAAGAAAAAAGGTAGTTTTGTAGAACAGCTCAAAAGCCACATGTGATACAATTTATTCTGTCACAACTTTTTAGGACGTTTCCATACTAAGGTTTGTGACTTGGAGACGCCTAAATCATAATTTGGGTTTGTATTTTTTGTAAAGGCACAAAATGACAGCAAGAATGTTTTTGTGTTGTGCATTAACTTAGGGTTTTTTTTTTTCCATTAAAATATTTAGTCTCGTGAGCGAATTTATCCTTTTAGTATTTAATGTTAGCATGGTACTACTTCAACAACAATATTCACTTAAAACTATTATTCTGATATTCTGGCTGATCGTCAGCCTTTGAGCTAGAATTTCCAAGGTAATCTTTAGAACAAGTTTGACCAAAATCATTTTTATGACTTCGAAGTAAGGAAAGGGAGAGCAGATTTCCCTCAGCTGCTCAAGGATGAGCTCTCCTTCTCGTCAGCAAACTTAATTTTCCTAATTTGTTTCAATAACCGTAACACAAATAACTTGTAACTTCAAGACTGCAAAAAAGGCGGTCATCTCCCTTAAGCACCCTCCAGTTGCGAGTGGTCAGAAAGCTCATTTGGAAAAATGAAACTGATTACTTATTAATTAATTATTAATTCAGGGAACGGTTTAAACTTGCCTCCAGCCACATAGTTGCTAGAGCTGATGCAAGGGAAGCTGCTCAGTGCACAGACAAAGGGAAAAAGGGTTGGACTATCTCTTCCAAGTATGATCTTGTGCCAGCGTAAACTGACTTTAAAAGTGCACGCTCAGAGTGGGGTCACATTCTACACATTATACCCGGACTGCATACACACAGTGAAAGCGCAAGTAAAATTTGAACTATTCTGGTATAAATTAGATCAGAGCTAAATCCTTACCTTAATTTTTTTAATGCGCACCTCTCAACGTGTTATAGGTTGCTTTCTGTGCAAAGACTGGAGTAGTGTTTTAATAGCCAGTATTTCCTAATTACAGATTTGCATATTTCTTCTGTATATGATATTAGAAATTATTGCAAAACCCTAGGCTGCAAAATTTGCTCTGACCATCGAGAAACATGAAAATTAGGGCTTAATACTACATTTTCCCCTTGCCATTTCACAAAAAGATGTCCTAATACAGAATTATTTGCCTCGGTTTATCTACAAGTGTAAAAATATCCAAGGTAACAGAAAAATAAGTTGTGTTAAGTACGGAAATACAGTGATCATATCATGAAAGAATGCCCCTGACTTGGGCTGCATCTCAAAATCTAATCCTATAGCTCAGAGGTGGGGTGGGGGGTGGGTGAAGTGTACATGTATAACTGTTTTTCCAGATTCCCTTTTTTTCCCCTATCACACTGGGACCTACTCACAGTTTGGCAACATACTTCCAAAAGCCAGAAAGAGACAATGGCTTTTCTGTCTTTAATAGGGAAATACTAAAACAACAGGATTCTGAACATTCAGATCTGTTCTACTGAGTTTCCAAAGAGCATGAAATTGTATTACAATAACTACATGCAAGTGTATAGCTTGTACATCACACACTAAAACACATTTTTGCAATGTTCCACTCACTTTTATTTAATTAAGGGAGAGCTTTACAACCTTTGAGCTGTTTCTGTGTCTCCCAGCTTGCAGCGTTAAGACTTTCCGTATTTATTCTAAGCTGGAATTCTCACATAACCAAACACCTCCCATAAAGTCTTCTACATCTCTTTTAAGAACGAAAGCTATGTTCTGCAGATCTAAATGTAAACTGAAGACTTACATCTCAGGAGACAAGAACCCTCACTCCGATTTACCGTCGTTTTACTAATATGTGCAGGCCAGTCACGATTCAAGCACAGGATAGAAGAGGAAGTTTGATTTTGTAACTAACTGAAAAACGTGCACTAGCCTTTCAGACTGCTAGAGCTACGATAAGGTACATGACAAAAAATAATTCTAGAAAATTAATAACGATCTATTAAAATGTGAGAATAGAATGAGCTGGAGATTGGAAGCAGTATGAGTGTCTCATCTCTACACCCAAAAGAATAAGCTATATTCCTAAAATGAGCAGTGATGAGTACTACAAATTATTTGCTTTTTTATAGCAAACTCATTCTACACAGATAATCAGATAAATTTTGCTAGGTCAGGGTACTTTACATAATTATTTCTTTGCATAATTACTGGAATACCAATATTACGTTCTCTAACATGCTGATTGGAAGATTCCCAAGACAGATAAGAAACTGAATAATAAAATCAAGCAGGTCAGATTTAGTATTTCAGTTTACTGATTTACAAAGGAGGCTTGAGGTAACTACCTCCAAGTGCAGGAAATGAATAACTATTCAGGTGGACTCTACTGAGAACATATGCAAGGAAGAGTCAGCTGGAGTGGCAGCATCCACACTTGAGGACAGACACCTCCTACTGTGAGCACTACAGTCCCGTTCCCCAAGAGTGCATGCCAGCTAAGTCCAGTTTCCATGCTGGGAGGAGACTTGGGTGTACATCATTCTCCTACCTGTCTTTGGAAGGGGTAGGAAAGGAGAGAGTTGTGGTATACGTCAGTACTTCCTCCCACTTGGGAGGATCAGGAAACAGGTAATGCAAGAAATACCATACAGCGCAGCAGCCTTGCAGTGTGAAAAACCAGCAACAGCTAATAGCTTAACTACCAGGGGCTGAATTAGCAATCGTCTCCTCCTTAATGAATTTTTTTTTTCCTCATGACTTCAATTAAGAGCGAAAATCAAGCAGAACTGATATGTTCCTGCTAGGAAATATACTGTCATCTATATGCAACTGACACTAACGCTAGTTCCAACTTTTAATAGGGCAAAAGGAATGACTTTCAAAGAACTTAAGATGTTCTTGTTCGTGGTGAGCAGCGTTTGATTCCCCTTATGCCTCTCTGAAGTGATTAGTTGCAACATATCATAAAAACAGTTCTCCATTACAGCTCTTAAACATGATTTTCTTTTTGAAAAGTCTATTTAATTGCATGACTGCGTAGCAATATAACGCTATTCACTGCAACTTAAATATCACACATGGGAAGGCTTATTATTACAGTTAGGCACATGCACTTGCATGGGCCACACTTGCTGCAGGCACTGCTGCATAAACACCAAGCCAGAAGAAGCCAGTTTCAGTTCTTGCACTGCCCTTCACCTAGCTAGAGATACTGAAGTCACCAATAAATCCAACAGCGCGATGAATGCAACCCATGGCAGTCTTCTTTACCAGCAATCATCCTCTGTACATCTTGGGAGTCATATGACCTAATCCTCATCTGTTCCCCATTAACATCCTGTACTAGTTTCCCAGAGTGTCCTATCAGAACTTAATGTTTTTTTCATTAATCTTCTGGGCAACTTTTCTAATTAGAGGCATAGCCTTTTCTTGTGCTTGGCTCCATAATCATCTTAGAAACTGATCACCACATCTGCCAGTTGTATGAAACATACATTTACTTCCATCAAGGACACACAAATAGGAGACTACTGGATTC